GACAAACAATTGTTATGTATAATGAAGTGGTTTTATCTTGGAGAACATACTTCAATATGCTTATAAATCATTGTTTATCAATTTACTATTACATTAGCATAACGTGCTTCCATACACAAGATAATACAAAGTTTAGAATTCTACACTTTTAGCATACAGAACATTTAATCATTATATTTGGATCACTTTTTAGCCTTCAGAATTTTTTTATGATTTGTCAAGATATTGATCTAATATATATGACAAGTCACAAAAACTACCAAAAAAACAGAACCTGTCTTTCAAAAAATTCAAGTGATCCTAGTCTAATTATTCAACAATTAGATAAAAGAATGGGATTTGTTATCTTAAATAATCTTGGTTATTAAGTTAGAATTTTAGAAATTCTAACAGGTTCCAAAAAATAATACAATGTTCTCTGCTCTAATAAATCACTAAAAGGCTAGAGGTCAAGACAACAGAGTTGAAAAATTAATTCAACTTTATAGACTTGTAAGTGAATTAAAATCTCTAGAAAGTAGAATCTCTGAATTGTATGGCCTTTTTAAAGATTATAAACCTGATGTGACACTCAGACCAATAGTTTTCAGGTGTAACTCAGCTACAGAAACTATCTTAATTACTACACAAAGTATTACAGCCTTTGTTAAAATTTTACACCAGCTGAGTTAATTGGGACCAGAGACTTATTAAACTAGGAATGAAACATCAGTTCTTTCATCTCATTTATTTTAGAATCAGGTTTATATTTGTTGATACCTTGCAAAAACGTATATACAAGCTGTTTCAGATTTTATTTCCAGTCAAATTAACAATATTAACTTGTTTGGAATACCTCTTGAACTTATTCAACCTTTGGTAACATTCATTCTTGAGAATGGATAATTTCAGTCTGAAGAAAGCTTATATAAAACATTTAAAGTGTTGTTTTTGGAAACAGAATGGCTGTAATTTTTGCTGTTTTACTTATGTATGCTTTTGAAACTAATACTCTGAATGAATGAAAAAGAAAACAACAACCTCACTCCAAAATTTGGCTCCGATATATGAATTACATTTTTCATATTTGTAATCAAGAAAAAGCCTCCCTAACCAATTTTTCAAGTTCCTAAATACCATTCACCCAATCATGAAATTCATATCACATCAAACGTTTCTTAATAAAAACTTGGGTAATTCAGGAGGAAAAAGATCCAAAGTTCAGTGTCTCTAAAAACAAAAGAAAAAACAGGATTCTCAAGTTATTACAAAATAAAGTCATTCAAAAGGGCAATTCAAGTCTCAGTCCTGCCCATCAGAACTGAGAAATGTATTTGCCTCAATTATAAAAACCAACTTATACATCCTGCTTACTTGCCTAGCAAACGTTACTTATGAAATATTTTAATTGGTAATGATAATGGAGAGACTGTTTGCCCCTTCACACTCATGACATTTTATCATGTTCTTCACATCACAATCGGAAAAGGGCATTTCTTTAGATCACTATTAAAAATAAAACATGGTAAACCCACATCAAAGCAAAAACCACAAATTAAAGAACATTTTGAGAGGTCCTTCCTATCAAAGACTGTAAACCAAAATTCAATAAAGAAGTTTGGCATGAAATTTCTAAGCTATCCACTATAAAGTGTGATACCAGCAGTGTAACTTAAACTTCAGTATTTTGATTCCATTTTAAAAATAGATATAAAACTATCTGTATATTCATTCAGTTTTCTAATTCAGGTTTCACATAGTTTATCTGTATGTGTTGTGTATTTGCACTTGTATATTTGTTGTAAATACCTATAATGGATTGTACACACAGTACAAATTTATGAATTTGACACAGATTTATCACTTCTTGGGTTCTCTCTCACTTTAACAATGTACATAACACGTATAAAATCTTGGACAGATTGTGTAAACATATATGAACTGTATATGTCTTAAAATATACTGAATATGACAGATGCAGGAACAAACACATGTAACATATACACATGCCTTCAATAATATATTTCACATTGGTATGTTTCTGCTAGTATTGTTTTCTTAAATATAACTTTCAGTGAAACATAATGGTCTCTTAATTTTAGAGGGGAAAATCATGCCACAAACCTATCATTCTTTTGCATCAAAGAAATGCATTTTCCTCTGTTTATCATTTGATACCAGTTAAAATCTATTTGTAAAACTGTCAAGAGAGTATATCTTTGTGAGAAAATATATAAATACAAAGCTCATTTTGTCATCTAATTTGTTGTCTTGCTGACTCATCTGGAGAAGACATAGTTCAGAGAGAAATAACCTCCTACTTCCAGAGAACACCTGTTTTGATTATCCTGTGTTTTGCTTTACAGCTTCTTCATGTGTGTACACAAGCTCAAACACAAATAGATAAAACATTAGATATTTTCAGCTTTGTCCTAATAATGTGCAAGTTTCTATTAGTGTTTAAAACATCACGATATTTTGTAAGGTCTACTTCTATGTAGTACTGTGTCAGAAGTGTTTTAGGTTTCTAAGTATTATTGATTTAAAAAAGAAAGACTAATTAAATACAAAAATATTTTGGTTACATTCCTCACGGTAATAACTATTTATTTTCCATTTCCTTTATTTTGTTTTATAATTTGTTTCTTTCTCTATAATTGAACATAAAGTATGAAATATTAAGACTTGATGATAACATAAGATAAGGAATGAATGGGGTGGGTGGGTTGAAATCAACAAAAGTTTGTTACGATAAGTGTGTGGAATTTTAAAAAAAACTATTTCTGCCCTGCAGATCATAATCTTATTTTTTAGGGTTAAGTCTTATAAGAACAGTGTAGCGGTAAAATATACCGAGTACATTTTATTATAAGGTTTAAAATTTGCTTAATTTATGTTAAAATTAAATGGTCCTAGTTGACACCTCTGCTATTTGAGATTTGAAAACTGTAAGTATATGTTTCTTGAATTCAAACACCTCAACTTATGACACCCATCATGACTGTAATATTTGGACAACTTTTCATCCTTAATTTCAGACATGAGATGTCAACAAAACTTTGGGAGTCATTTGTTGGCCAAAATTTATCAAAATGGGTACAATTTCGGTATTTTTGTCTTTCAAGCTACCAATATCTTTATATTGTTATGTATTTCAGATTTTAAAAATGTGGAATCTGATTTGTGAAAAAAATAGTTGATGTAATGCAAGTTAAAAGAAAAAAATTACAACCAGTGTCTCTGAGATACCGCACATCATATGAGTGTGTGAGCAACTATTCCTACTCTGGTGATCTGTTGTAATTGTCTTGAACCTGGTTGATCATTTCTAATAGGCTGGTCTCGTAAGACAAATTTTCTACTCCTGGATATTTCAGGTGGAATTTTTGCAGTAGTTTTAAGATCACTTAGAGCAACCAAACAAAATTACTCACCTGGAAGGTATTAGGAGTCATTCCTCCAACATGATTCTGGGCTGGGATCTGGGGGGAGACTACACATGATTGATTTGCAACTAGCTGAGCTTCATGTTCATGAGATGGATACCTAGCTATTTGTGCCAGTGGTTGATTCTGATGATATGTAGGTGGACCTTCTCTAACTTCAGATATTGATGGTGTTGCTGGTTGGGTGGGTCTTCCTGAACTAATTGTTCCATTCTGAGTATTAACCAAATGTTGCTGTTGCTCAATCAAGGTTGACTTTTGGGTTTGTGGTTGAGAGGAAACAGGTGCCTGTTGATGTGAAGTGGGTGCATGAACTTCCCGAGTCTGGTTTACAAGTGTTTCCTGTTGATTATTCTGAACCTCAGACTACAGAGTGAAAGGCATATAGAAAATGTTAGCTGTATGTAGGTAAATAAGACTGGCAAGGAGTGAAAACATTACTGATAAAATCACAATAGTCTCTCATGTATAATGTACGTATCCTTAAATATTGTATTTTTTATGAAAGGATATGCATAACGAGTGAGGTTGTAATGTTTATCAGGGAGGTTTAATTAATGAAAGCCAAGCCCCAATCACATATAAATAAGTAGGATTAAGTTGCTAGAATACTTTCACGTTTATGGCTTGAATGTAATCTTACACATTTTTATATGTACCTAATTTGCAGTTGTTACAAAATGCAAAATTTCATCAAAATCTTGATAAACTGATGAAGTTTTATTTCAAGTGGGAAAAGGAGATACAAAGCCAGAAAGGAAGGAAGCTGATTTTGTTAATTACATGCACAAGAAAAGAAAAAAAAATTAACATTTATGAACTGCAGAAAGTAGGAAATGGAGAAATGAAGGCTGAAGTCCTGTTAATATTCTACACAAAAATATTAGTAACAGTGCTAAGGAAAGTGCTTCTGCATTCTAAAAACCATTTGTATTTAACCTTTATATGTCATTAGGTAAAAATGGTACAGTACATGTACCTAATTTATAAAATTTTGTTTGTGGATGTAATCAGTGAGTTTCATGTTGAACTTTATGTTACAATGTTTAAAAATACTTTACTGTTTATTTGCCTAATGACCATTGACCACAGTACACACACTGGTGTAAATTTTAATATTTAGAAGACTTCTGTTGTTAAATGTTTTGGCACATGTAACTGCTACATGTGTAACTTCGAATTCTGTTTTGATCAGAGATGGTGATTCAGATTGCATTTCTGTCATCTATATCTGCTAGTCAGGGCCAACCAGATTGATTTTCTACCCATGGATAAGCATTTTGAACCTGAACACTACTTACTGTGTTTCAAATTAGGCACTTTACCAAAAGTACTTGTTTTCAAGTTTATGTAAACTAAATTGGATTTTCTAACTCTGTTTATTTCTGGTTTTTAATTTTTTAACATAAAAAAAATAGGTCTAATAAATCTCAATTTCTATTTACTTAAGTCTGCGGTTTACACTAAAGGTTACAATAACAATTATCTGTCTCCCACCTTTTAAAATGTGCAAAACATTTTTCTTCAATTACAGGAATAATACTTTGCAGCTTTTTTGACCTATTTACATTCATTAATATAAAGTTTGTGAAATAATGCTTTTGTCTTAAAACATGGTGTGTAAAAAAATCTATTTGTGTAGTCCAACTTTGATGGCTTAAATACACTTGAGATCATATGCACACAGTTTGTGCTATTGTTCTGTAGGACTTGGGCTGAAACTTGCCATTTACTAAAAAAGATATATGTTTCTGTAATTTACTGTTAAGTTTAATTATTTCAGTTATTTGTTGTATAAACAGATTTAATATGTTATAAATTTTTTAAATAGTAGTAAATACATTTGTCAAATCTGATAGACAATGTACATGAGACAGTTCTGCTTTAGTGCTTAATAATTTCACTAAGCAGGTCCAACCTCATCAGGTTTTCTTGTGTTAAAGGCTGAAAACTTCACTAACAGATGATCCAAGGTAGAGTGGTCATAGAAGCTTTTTATAGTTTGTCTGCTATTATTCATTATTAATAACATTTATTATCAATTGTTATTGCACATCTTAGCAACTTTTTTGGTTGAAGTTATTACATAATTGGTCTAAGTTTCGAAAATGTGAAGGTGGTATCGCTCTCATGTACCTCTAAAGTCAGACAGATTTCTCCAAGAGATTCTGTTTTCATGCATGGTTATGTCAATGTTTATTTTTTTAGAATGTTTTTAACAGAAATAGTCAACTTAAGTCTATCTGATTTGATGTTTCAAATATACTTTCTCTTTTTAGCAGCATTATGTTCTTAAACTACCTATGAAATAGTGCTGGTGGAACTTTGCAAGTTTGTAAAATACACTTGTTGTGCATATAATCAACATAATTTCAAGCAAATTTCATGTTTTCTGTTATATTTTTCTGGCTATTGTATTGAGGATACTCAACTTCCATTTGCCTTTAAATGTAAAACACAGAAGCCGTACATGTATTTTTGTGACTTAAAACTTTTATCCAGGCTTTCTACAGTCATTGATATATTTTTAACTAGTAACACTATAATTTTCAAATTTGTTGACCCAATAGATTGGCCATCGTTTATGTAAATGTCTGATAATTAATCCTCTTATTCATGCTACCTAAGAACACATGGAAAGATTACTGATACTTGTATGTCTAATAAGTTGAAAGTACTTTAACCCACCTCAATAAATACTGTTTTAGTTGTACAACTAAATAGGGACACAGCCTTTAGCCTTAACCAAAATTTCCACAGTTTCTTTTTACAGACTTTATAGATACAATTAATTATTAGTTAAGTTTAGATAACTCCTACAAAGAACCAGTATCAGAGCAAAACCAGGAAGAATATCATAGGTTATGCAACAAGACTGAAGTAATTCATGTTGGTTAATAAAGGCTATGCTGTATTTGAAATTACTTGAATAGTAGCAAGAGAAACAGCAGAACATCTTCCAAAATTTTCCACATTTCAAAACTTGTCAATATTCTAATACAAACACTTAAGTAATTTTCTTTAACAATCTTACCACTTTCCAATAAAAACAAATTATTGTTGTATTGACTTTAACTTATTCTGAGTAAGTACATTACTAATTAATATTTATATATATATATCCTTCTTACAATACAGTAACACCAGTACACGCATGCGACTGATCAATCCAAAGTATAATAGATATATTTTTAAATGCTAAGCCTGACACACTCTTTGGCATTTATCAAGGCTTGATTATACATTACTTGATAATTTTGCTAACAAATTTTAGTTTAAACTTACAGAATTAAAAATAAATCATGTAACAACTTATATTTTTCAGATGCAACATATAATTTGACACTAAACTTGTGAAACTCTAATTCAAAGATAATTTAAAAATTAATTTGTATTTTTTTCAATTTTTTACAATTTCCCACTACACATAAGTAACAAAATGATGCCTGTAATTAACCTTTGATCTAGCTTGATCAGTATCTTATTTGTTACTGTCTAATTTTGTTTCAGGATGTTGTCTTCATTTTCAAAACAAGTTTTTACTGGGGATTTGGATTTCATATGACTATTAGCACACTTGTGATAGTCTTTTTTGAATGGAAATTTGTGTGATGAGTGGTCATTTTAATTTGAGTTTATATTTGAGCATTTTATCCTCATGGTTTATTTTATTAACCACCTATATTTTTTTGAATAATTCATTTTAAAGATAAATTCAGACAAGGTTCACAACAAAGATCTATGGCATTTCAGTATTCTTTTAGCCTCTTCCTGTTTCATCAAGTTATGTATTTATTCTCATTGATTTATTGTTTGATTTTGATAAAAAAAGGTCTGGATGGTGTAGAAAAAATGATAAATTTGTACTTTTACATATCCCTTCTATTTCATCGTTTAATTCTGAAACACAAAGATAGAGAGTGAGAACTAAGCTTTTAGTTTCATCAGATAGTTCTCAAAATATGATTTCTCAGAATGTTTATGAAAAATTTGGATCAACAAACTTTGACAACAGAAGTCTAATGCAGATGCATCTGCATATCTCTTAGTTCTATGATTCAGATATCTATGTAATTATCTTTTAAGTACTTTATTACATTTTCTTAAGTACAATCTTCCTATACACAACATTTTTGAAATATCTAATTTACATATAAATAAAGACGTATGTCAGAAGCCACAGTACCAGACTCCTCTCTGTGATGAAAAAAAACTGATTCCTGGCATTTTTGAATGATAAAACATCTAAGAAAAGTTCTTATCCACTATACCAGATAATCAACCTGTAAGTTCAAACATATAAAACTTAAGAAACTCTTTGACAACAGAGGTTAAGTATGTTATATTAAAGTAATTTTGGAGCCTCATTATGTCAATACATTCCATGTCGTCATGTCTGGTCATGCTCTAACTGACATTCTTGCATCTTGACAATAGTTCTGTAATTTAGCTTCCACTGCAAAAGGATCTATTGTAAACTGTCATGCCCAAAGCACACCACTCCACCCTGAAAATGCTCGAAGTATGCAACTGTTGAATGGGAGATATAATTGGAAGCCTTATTTTGGAAAACCCATACCATGATAGCCTCATTTCCATACAAATTTGGCATTTTTGTGTGGTATTAAAGGTCCAGACACTGATCTAATAGGAAATAGTGTTCACTTTGACCTTTGTACCCATTCTCGGAATATCAAACTTGCTCCTGTCATAGTATCCAGTGATAATTATAAACCCTTCAAAATCATTTTGTGAAGTGTCATTTATCAGTTTTAGACATTTTTTTCACCCAATGGCTGGTAGAAAATGTCACAAGGTTTGTTATAGTTATCAAGGTACACATAAATTTTATTGAACGTCACCACGACCTACCCATTTGTCTCTGGCTAGGCAACTTTCATGCAGTTTTCTATAGTTGATCTTCCTCTCTTGGATGTGTCACGGAAGCAAATTGTGTCATTTTTCCAGATGAAAATCCTTCTTGATTGTGTTGCATTCTGTTTTCTGGGTGTTTAGGCTTCTGCCATTCATTTTTTATTTATGATTTTCACCTATTAAAAGACGCTGTACTTTGTTTACCATAGCTAAGGTACAAATTGTAGCAGGTCCCTTTCTAGATTGTCCTGGTGTCTCAAGTTGAGCTATATTTATTTGTTTTCCAATGACATTAACCCTCTCACTATGGGTAGGTCGAAAAGTGAGCAGGTCGTGCATTATGTCATTCAATACGGTAACATGAGATGAGTGTCGCCAAGTGATTTACAACATATGTGGCAGAATTATTAATTAGACATGAGTCAAAGGGCAACAAAATAATAAATTTAAGTATAAATAGATGTACACTGTTACAAGCTTTAAGCTATTTAGGAAGAATAATTGTAGTTTCATGTTACAATCTGTAGTCATTCTAGAAAGAAAAAGTTAACTTGGATTTATTTTTTTCTGGTGGTTATAAGGTAGGTCAAATTGATTGAATGTGTATAGAGTTAAGGTAGAGAAAATAACACATAAAATATAATTTTACTGAAATTTATATGTTTGATATTTATGTAGGAGGTTTTAGGGATTATTCAAATAAAATTTGACAATTTTTAGATGGATAAAAGTAGTTTTTAATATTAATATGAAAATCAGTTTTCACTCACAGCATTCAACACTCTAACTCAGTGGTTTCATGGAGAAAGTTTTGGTAAAAATACTCAATTAAAAAATCTTGATTTTTTGTTTACAAAAGATTAGTAATGTTTACTGAAATCTTGCCAAATTTTGTGCAGATACACTAGAAATATTAAAAGTAAAAATATGAAAACTATAATGGTTACTTTAGAGTTACAAGGTCAGTCAGCAAGAGGGTTAAGTACAAGGGCTATAGTCACCTTGGAAATCTTAATTCCCCACACCTTTATGATCTGTGTGTAAGAACATGTTGCATGGAAAAGGGCTGTTACATAACTTTCCCAAAAGGAAGGATATTTTGCATGGGATCACACTACCCATAAAATGCCAGACAATGTCACTATGTAGTTTTGAAACAAGCCATTCTACTATGACTTCATATAAATAGTGTTTCTCATGTGATTTACTGATTTGAATATTCAGTCATTTTAATATAATTTACTCAGCCCTCTCTAAACCTAATTAACCAATGAATAAAATAAAGAAAGACTTATTATGAATATCTGTATTCTTATGGAAAGACATAAACTGGTGAACTATGAAACTAGGAGTATAACAAAAAATGGTTGGAAACTTATGAAACAAAACATTATTGAATAAAACCTTCTCTTTCTTTTGTGATTTGCTTAATCATACTGTTTTCACTATTTAAATTAGTCACTAATGTGGAATTCATTCTTTTCTCTTTAGTGGTTTGAAAATGTATATTCAACAGACTGTAGTTATGAAGCTACTAACCAGCCAAACAAACTATAATCTAACTACACAGAATATAATTAAGCAAAATGGTGTGAATGGTTTTCACTGTTTGAAAATTAGATTAAATTTCATACTTTTTAAAAAATATTTTCTATTATGCTGTTCAATTCTGAATTATAATGGAAAGAGAAGTCAAATTTTAGTTCCATCAGATGTTAAGGCTGAGACTAAAGACTGCATGAAATTCACAGACTGTCACTTTGAGAATCTCATCAATACAATTAGTCAGTATTATGAAAAATAAAAAGATAACTGGTAACAACACAGGGGTGTTTCTACTACATCTATTTATGTCTACCTACAAACTTCTAATGAAAAGTAAATTAATTATATAAACGAGAACTAAAGTAACAATATTAAAATACAAACATTTGGAGTTAGCAGTATGATCTACAAATTACAAAGTCAACTAGTAGTAAAACAACATTTATGGTCTCCAAACTGTTAGAAAACTTCATAACCGGTCTTGTCATAATCTATTCAGCATATCATGCTATTGGCATATGCTAAACAAAGTTGAGAAACAGTAATAAAAAAAGAAAGTCTCATTTGCTTTCATATAGTAGATGTTTAAATTTGACAGATGTGGCTTAAAACTATTGAACAGACTTGCCATAGATAAAAATCCCTTGCATTCACATAATTCTGTTACACGACTAGATCTATATTAACAGAAAAGTATATGATTCTTCAATAAACTATGAAACACATAAGTTTAGCTTAATTATTTAATTATATGCTGTGAAAGAAGTATACAAAGTTTTTTGGCTACATATGACAGTAACATACAATATTTAACTATTTAAACCCATAATTTTTTGCATGTTCTGTCGAAATATTTTCATGATATCTTAATAATTATCACCATACCTTATAAAAATTTGTGGTCTAGTTATAAAAGGTGGATTAATAATATGATTTGAATTAGTTTTCAGATATAAATGTTATTGGCCACTGTCACAGTCTGATGGGTAAATCGAGATTTTTGGCTAGACACTAGCAGTGTCCACTTGGGTTTAAAGAGTTAAAGAACAATGTTTTTTCTTCTACTTTCTCTACTGAATTCCAACTTTCCTCTGCTTCTCCCTACTCTTTTGACCTTCCAAAACTGAATACAGGAAAACACTTGATAAAAAAAAAAATCCTAAAGTTCTCACACAGATTGTAATCAGTGTCAAGAAGGCCAATGATTATGATGTTTTCAATTCATAATGTTGAAACTACCATACATATCAAACTGACATCTTTTCCCATATGACTTGCATGTATATTAATTCTTTCAAATTTCTGAACTTTTAACTGAAATAATAAAATAAAAGGACTGTACAAAATTCAGGAACCTAGTTTACCTCCTATGCTCATGAGTCTACCTTCTGCTTGTTCATGCTTTCTAGGTGAGATTATTATCATTAGTGACCACAAGATGTAATAAAAGTTAGAATCAGGGCTACAGCACTTAACATAGGAAAAAAAAAGGACAGTTGGAAGTAGGAAAGGAGAATTGTAAGATCTTTAAAAATTATGTAGCAGAGATTGTTTTGAAAATTTTTGAAGTTTGCAGGCTTAAAAATAAATTTCATAAAAGGGGGGGGGGGAGAAAATCTAGCTCTGCATACATATATATATATATACACACACACACACAATAACAAAACTAAGCAGGTACACATTACACATTTTCAAATGAGGAAAAATGTTTGCCCTAAGAATACATACCTTTTCATTGATTGAATCATCGTCCTCGCTCTCTTCACCAGAAGACCATACCCAGTCCCCAGTTTCAGTTCGATGGAGACGACCACTAGCACCACGTTTTCTATTGTCTTTGAGCTAGAATTTTGCAAAATTTTAACCTCTACAATTTAAGTCTGATATCATAGGAAATTATTTTGTGAAAATATATTAAAAGAAACACTGAATTATGATCAATATGTATAACATTACCCTTAATATTCAATTATATTTCCAATCTTTACAATCTACCACTAAAACAGACAACTTAAAGGAAGCTAATCTAATCTCTTAAGAATTTTGAATATCTGAATCAATTTCTACCTAATTCTTTTGAATCCATAGAAAATAAATACAAAAACTTGCATCTCCTCATAATTTACATGATTCAAAATAATGTTTACTTATTTATGCACTCTTTGCAACATGATATCTTTGTAGAAGACTAGAAATGCACACAATACTCAACCTAAAACCTCAACAGTACTGCATAAGGCTACAATAATCTTGCCTTATAATGTAAATTTAAAATATTTATAATTAGCAGTAAGATCTTTTTCCATCACATATAAACACCCAGCACAGGGTTTAAGGCCTCACCAACAATCATACCTAAATCCTTATTCTTTATTATAAAAGGTCTATGCTCCACTTATACAAAAAGTAATATTTTTTCAACTTTTCACATCCTGAGTTTGTAGCTTCAAATTTTATGCTATGAAAAACCATTTACCATACTCGCCCCATTAACAAAAATCATCAAGGCCTTTGGAATCTGTGTAGGAAAAGCACTGTGAACAGAATTGGTTCTTCTCATCATTTTATTATCATCAGTAAACTGAAAAATATTATTTTCTAGGAAGCTCTCCACAGCACTAATAAGAATAATGAACAAAATGTGTAAAACAGACCACCTGGCACATCCACAAAAATGCTGATTTATGAATACTTTGTACTCTTTTTGCACCAAGCCAATTCTCTATCTACTTCAATCCTACAAGCATAGAACCTACTAATTGATCTATTGTAAGGAACCTTATCAAAGGCTTTCTAAAAATCATGATAAACAACATCAACAAGATGCTCTTTTTGAAAAATGTGAAGGTTCTATCAAAACAATACAACTAATCATCAAGACAAGAAAACCTTTTTTTTCTAAATTGTTCTAAGAATAGTTCACTAAAAACACCTTTCCAAATGCTTTTCTAGAAGAGTTCTGATGACAGATTCCAATACTTTGCTAACAGTAGAAGTCAAGCTATTAGGCCTATACTTTTCCATATCCTTCCCAGACTTTCTTTATAAAAAATTAAGGTTCATGGTAATCCTCCACATAATCAGTAGGAAATTCATAAATATCAGTTGATTTTGGAGAATAATAGTCATACATATCCTTAATCTTTGCCATGTTTCTTCAAGATTTTAAGATAAATCTGTTAAGTTCTAAGTTTTTTTTGAGATTTTAGGGCAAATCTGTTTAGGTTCGATACCTTTAAGATTGTAAAGTAAATCTGTTAGGGTTCAGGGACTTTTTTTCTCATGCTTTTCTAGAATAGCTACTTCTCCAACAAAAATAGAAATTTTAAGAAAACTCCCCAAACTCTTAAAGAAATTAGTTATTTTGGGAATATCTTCTTCACCTTCATTAGTAAAATTTATAGTAAATTTTTTTTTCACTGTGTATCCTCCTCCCAGAGTAAGTCTCCCTTTAAAATGTTTACTAAACCAACAACAATTTTTTCAGTTTCAAGGTCAATGGGCATAAGGTCCTACTCTTGAATGAATAATGCTGATGAACTTGAATACAATATTAAAAATACAGTGTAACTGGTCTATCATATGTAAAAAATAGCTATACCTGCATGACGGTGGTCCTTATTTGCAGGTAAAATTTCAGGTTAAAAAACATTCTAAAGCTCTCACCCCTTAATTTTGTTCCAATGTAAACAAAAACATTAAATGTTAAACTTCATCTATTTTGGACCATACTTAGAGGTTGCTCAATGAGATTGGAGTTCTAGACCGTAGTGGCCTGGTGCCATATAAACTATATGATATAAAGACATTTGTTACGTATCATAAATGATTTATTTAAAGTATGTTACTATTTTATTGTATGTACAATAGTATAAGTACATAATTATATGATTTTTAAATTGACTTTGGCATGGATAGTCACCCTTGCATTGTTATTGTTTCCTTTTTGATGCTAGGAGTGTTTTCTAAGATCCTGCACAACTTGAGGGTGTAACTATTTCTCTTCTTCTTTCTTTGTTATGATAACATTACATTCCTCAACAAAGGCCACATCCCTTTCAGCATTGTCATTTGCCACAATGAAGTGTTGAACTGTCTGTTGTGCCTCCTCGTGGTCCTTTCTGAGCTCCTATGACTTTGGTCATAATCCAGAAATCCAGGTGAAATTTTGATGCAAATGAATAAGTCTGTTGTGTTCTTTGTGATGAAATCTTCAACTGACAGATCTTCAGACTCTGAGATTCAGATGGATGCACTTAGGAGGTTCATCCATGCCTTCCTTCTCATTTAGTGCCTTTACCATTGCTCATTTTGTCTCTGTGGATATAGCTGCATCAAAGAATGCCAAACCAATGAGTTCCTCATTGAGATATCATATAGATCCAGCAAATTTTAGACAGGCAGGTTTTGAAAGAGCAGAATTCACCTTCTTATACTTAACAATACATTGTAGGAAGCTAAGATCATTGTGTGAGGAGCAGAAAGGGCATCAGAAGCAGTGAACAATGCATTAAGAGAGACTCAAACAACAAAATTGCAGATGTCACAGAGTCCTTTTTCATTCAGTCAGTGAGCTTAAACTGTCCCATAAACATCAAGATCTTGAGGGCATATAATGTCTTGGCCATCTACCATGCATGATGTAGTGTTCCAGATACTATAAATGCCATTCCATGAGGAACGATGGCACCAAGAAAGGTTATGGCTCGCTCAAGAAGCTCTTCATAATCATCTCTAGGTTGGCTGACCTGAAGCCATCTTGTCACAAACTCAAGACACTGCCTTAACTTCCTCTATGGCTTCTGTTACTTCATAATGATCAGCTGCAGTTTCATAAGTGGATTGGTCCATGTATTCCCATGATTACTGGAATCTACTGAAAATTGCAATATTTGGAATGGAGGAAAGCCTCATATAGTCTTTGAAAGCACATGCCAGGTCAAGTTCTAAGATATGTTGCTGGCATGCCAAATATGAAAGATTCTCATTTAACCTTTGTTCTAACACCATATATGCTAAATTTCTGTGACCATTGTTACTTTCTGCTGTGTCAAAGCAAGCTGCTTTTACATAATCAACAACTCCCCACTTTTCCAGCAAAAGTTTGAGCCTTTTCAGTACTATAACTCAATTCTGGAACACCTAGGACTTGGTTTACTCTTGCTCCAGACAGGATCACTGGCAGATGATCCACTGATCTAGAAACTACTGTCATATCATACAGAATATTTAAGAAAGTAAAAAGTAACAGCATGGACTATTTATATATATAGAAGGTTCTTGAACATTTTGAACAATGTGGAATATTCCAGAATATGCAAGAATATTCAATAATAATATGCTAAAACCTTCCAGAATAATCTAGAGCCTGAAGTATTCCAGAATACTAAAAATATGCAGACATAATTCAAGCTACAAAGTAAAATTTCAACTACCTTGAGCAACCCCTAAATGTGATTCAATATGGATAAAATATAGTGTAAAACACTTATTTTTATAATGGAACAAAATAAAGGGATGAATGTGATGTAAATTAAAACTTCAACAAGAGGAAATCCTCAATAACTGTGGAACTTCAATTTCTTTTAAACAGGATTATAGTAAATTAATCTACGAGAACTTTTTTCCTTTTTTATTAGCTATATTTTTGTTCACCAGAAATACCAAGCATGGGATACATGTATACCCGATTCAATTTTATTACTCATCAGGATCCCTACCGCCCTACTCAACAGTTGAAATTGTTTTAGGCAGAATTAGAGTAAGTTAATCTACGAGACCTTGGGCATAGTCAAATACATCAATCAAAAGGGTTTAACCTCACAAGTCCAAAACTCAAATCAGTCAAGAGATGACGGAGTTATGAGCTAAAAGTCAGTACTTGAAAAAAAAATTCAGAGCCATTCTATGAGCCGCAGCTAAAAATAAGGATCACCCAAACTTCCATAATGATTACAAGTAAAATAAAAAAAATTAATTTTATAAAGACGGGTAGGGATCGATACATATGTAACCTAGCTAGCTATAGTAATATAGAAAGTTTTCATGCTATAAAAAATTTTGAAACAAGAAAGACAACACTAAAAAATGGAGTTACTTAAAATTAAAAATTTTATCCCTACTTTGGCAAATCACCATAGGTATAATTTTTATTTAAATTTGAAATTGAAATATTAAATCTAAATTCTGCAAGTGGGGTGAGGAGAAACAACAGTTTCTGAGTGCTCCTGACTGTCTTTCAAGCCCCTTCGAAGCTCGTAAAATTTTCAAGCCAGAATTGAATTTGGACTCTTTGGAACTAAAGATATTACAAATTAAGATACAGCCCACCAGTAACACTAAGATATTCAGACAAATGTAGCCAGGTAGGTATAAATAATGGCAAAAATGTTCATGTATAGAACTGTCACATTTGAATAGATAAATACAGTACTAGATATAATTTGATCCTTATATAAAAAAAAAGAAGTTAAAATTGTGTTTAGGAAACACTTATGTCTCCACTAATGTATCAGTGCATGTTTGAGTCCCCTCAGTCTGATTAGCCTTGACTTTTGATCCATGACCTTCAAAAGTTAATCAAATCTAGAACTTTATATGTATTACCTGTTGTATGCTTTTGGTCAATATCCATTTATCCTGTATTGAAATATTACGTCCACATGGTTGGGGAAATTTTCTATGTACCAGTGACCTTCAAAAGTTAATCAGGTCTACAACTTTTTATGTAGTACCTATTTTATATGTATGGTCAAAATATATCTTTCTAATCTCGAGATATCTTGTCTACAAGATCTGGACAGACGGATGCCCTGCTTTGTTTTGCTAAGCAGTGGGGGCATAAACTATATAATGTTCCTATACTGAAAATGTATTTCTGATAGGTACTTACCTTCTCTCACATAAATAGCTATTTTCGTTCAGTGCTGCCCTCTATATGCAAACAATTTTTGTTACCCATGCCACAAGCCTTTTTTCTCCCCTCCATTGTATTTGACTAATTTCAGTGCATCTCTCATGCAAATCATCAAAAGATAACCCTCCACCAATAAGAGTGCAACATACTCTCACTATACATGTGACTCCCTCTATTCAGTTCAACTTAACTATCACTTCAAGTTTTGGCAGAAAATGGAAGCACCAGTTTTCAGTGGGGAGAAAGGGTGGGAAATGTGAGATAAGATAAGTATCTATCAGAAATAAATTTTTAGTATAGAAAAATTATAACTTCCGATACGTTACATTACCTCCACTTACATAAATAGCTAAAATCCCACATTGAATAGGTGGAGGGACCAGTGCAAGGGAAAGAAAGAAGCATCCTTTGAAAGCATCTAAAGGACACTCCTTAAAATGAGATAGTCAGATTTTAAGATCTGATGAAGGAGACCGCACCACATCTGAACCAGGTATACTATTTGCCAATTGTAAAAAGATGTTGAATAATGGGTGGAAAACAGAGGAGCATATCCAACTGGGATAGAACTATGGCAAGAAAGTGATCTGAACTATGCAATATTTATGAAACTCAATCCCAGAAATTATAAAAGTGTGTAAAATAAAAAGGATGTTCCCCTAGGTGCAGAGTGGCTAGGGCTCGACAGACCATACACAGCAAGTCAACAACATCCAAAACCCATGCTTCTGGGAACCGACATCCACGAGGGGGTAGGGTGAGGGTCATATGGTTGGTAAGTCAACGACAATTCAAAACCCAGCCATCTGACCAGAGGGAATCTAGTACCCCCTGACTCATGCACGGGGCACATGTGAATATGATAAATTGATAGATCAATCTGGGAAACCAACATCATGTATCGAAAATATGTCTACATAATGTAAACCATCTCTCTCAGCAGAAGGGAAAGAACCATAACAATCTGCAATTACCTCCACCATGACCCACAACTCTGATGGAATACAATTGAGGGAGGAAATATAGACATCTGTAATACATGTGTGAGGACTTATGTTGATTGGTTCTACTCTAAATCTAAAACCTGGCCACTGGCAACTGACATCCATATGGGGGGTAGGATGAGGGATCCCAATCAAAGAGGTGAACTGCAATTTGGACATCTCACTCCTTTTTGTTTTTATGTTTCATACTGGAAGATATCACGTCACCTACACCAGCAGAATACCACCACCCTATTCTCAACTGAATGGTTTTATAATCATTTCTATATTTTGTTAGTACTTCAATAACCCATTTCGGAGGAAGCCTCCATTGTGCACCACCCTAGTGGCTTGGAACTGGAATGTGGTAAGGACTCTCAAACTCCACTAGAAGAAAAGGGGGATAAAATGCAGTGGAGAGTCCAGAGGAATGACAACACGAGACATTGCAATGGGTGACCATGAAACTCTATCTTTAAAAACAGATCATACTGATTTATTCAATACAAGGCATGGTAGAGATGGGCAGCTATCCCCTTCTGCTTTACCCATGTAGACCATGGGTGGGTACGGTCTGGAACGGGAAACTAATGAAGCAATTCTATCTTGTGGAACACCAACACCCCATCTTTGCAGTGTGTGTTGCACGGCCATGGAATTATAACATGCAAGTCAACATGACTTGACAGTGCAGATTTGAACAGTTAAAGAATACCTGGTCAGGCACCACTCACCACAGAGCAGGATCCAAACAACGAAGTAATAATAATAAAAAAAGGGAAATAAAGTTCCTGAAAATAAAAAAGCATAATAAAAGATAATTTACTCAGTCAAAGTCTCAATGAAGACTGAAGAATGGATAAAAACAGAAGATGATAGCCAGAAAAGAAAGAAACCACGATCCTATGCAAATAGTGAGAGATGAATGTATTAGGAGCAGTCCACATGCCCGATTGAAGAATTTCCTCCAATGGACGACAAAGATAAAATGCCAGAGTAAAGATAAGGTGTCAAATCTGATGAGAAGACAAGTGGAACAAAGTACAGGAGGAAGTCAATAATGAGGAATAAACTAATCAAATCAAAGGCTGAACCCAATTGGTGAGGGTGGAAAGAGAATGATCATAGAGGATGGCTGCCAAGAAATAAAGAGTACCACTGAAGGAAGCAATGTGGGCAATATAACAGCAAAGAGCATGTACAGGACACAGAACACCCAAATGGAGAAGATACTGGGTAGGTCGAAGGAATGACTTCTCGAATTTGATTAGCCAGCCCAGTCAAGTTGCCTCCAGGAGCAGCTGATGACTGTAAAGGGTGGACTCCTGTTTAGAATGAGCTAACAGTAGCCAGTCATCCATATAATAATGAAAGAGCAACCAGAGAGCATGTAGGTGACTAGTAAATGCTCTGACCACCCGACCAAAACATACGGGGCCAAAGCAAGCCAGAAGGGCAGTGCACAAAACTGATAAACCACTGTGGATGACCAAGATGGATGTTGTGAATGCTTACTTGCATATCCCAATATCTTGTAAGTCACAATCATATCTTTGGTTTGTTTAATTCACAAAAATCCTGGAGAAAAAGCCCACCTGAGGGTGAGAAATGATTTCATGGTAAAACAGGGTAGACTGAGAAATTGATTGAGGCAAATCTATTATAGGCAGTCAGTCTCCAGTTCTCTTGGGGACAACGAACAGCCTGGAGAAAGATGATGAACAGGTTCAATTGTTGTTGAGACAAAAGGTCTTGTACCACCTCTAACAAACATTGACAGGTGATGGGATCCCGAGGCACAGGGAAGGAAACAGGTACCCGAGACGAGGGGGGGGGGGGAATTGGAGGACAAGTCCCTCTGATAAATCCCAACTTACCCACTGATTTGTGGCAAAAGATCCCCAAAGGGTAACAAATTCGCACAATCAAGCTCCCACTGGGTTGTCACCAGTACTGTTGGCACCATACCCATCTATGTCGAATAAAAGGAGGAGATGAGGACCCCTGGAAAAAGGAACAGGTAAGAGCTGAGAGGGACTAGGATGGGAAACAGGAATAGGGGCTTGTCATGGTTCCAACTGCAAAAAACAAGCTACCAAAGAGGAAAGGGTAGAGTGTTGAAGCACAGACTCCACATATGATTCCAAAGTCTCAGGTATATGGTCGAAAACATACCGCTGAAGAAAAGGGGCCATACATAAATCCCTTAGATAAGTGGATGACAAACAAACCTGGGACAAGGCCACATCGTGACCCAGAAGATTCCAACAACAGAGAAACCGTGTGTGTAAAGCAAGATCTTTACAATGGAGGTAATAAGGGAGAGGCTATCCATTGAAAAACCATCAGGATCTCGGTGTATCGCCACAGAGAAGAGATGGGTGGTAGATGAATACCGTAGAAGTGAAGCAAAGGTAAGATAAAGAAGTGAAAACTGGGCATGGGTTAAATGCACAGGAAAATCAGGGACTATCCCCACACAGGTAAAATAGATCCAACTGTTGAGAGTCCAGAAACGGACAGTCAGCTTGATGGTAAGCCAAAGCAAAACCGTGAATGGCAAGGCATGCTGACACCCTCAACCAAGTGTGAAGCAAATTGCTCAGCATGAACCCTAATATCTGGGTAGGGTGGGAAGTTAAATATGAAGAGGAAGAAATATCATACAACAAATAAGGATGGGGATCATAGGAAATCGATAAAACATCACATATCTGAGAAATCATGTCTAAAGATGCTGTAATAGGCCTAGCTGATTCTGCAGGTTAGGCATAGGAATACACACCAAAATTTGGTGGTGGACAAAGGCCATCAAAATTTTCATTAGCCCAAACAGGTTTGGCTTGTTCAGGAGGAAGTGGAGCAAGTTCAGGAGAAGGTGGTTAACCATATAATGATCAATCTTTCGGCAGATAATCGCAGATAAATCAAATGATAGGTCCCCTCCACCTACAGCATGTGAAAGAGTGCTTGTAAGAGGTATTATACCCGAAGTGGTAACATGAACCTCAAAATTCATTTCAGAAATATGAATCAAACAAAAATGTTTGATAAACAAATGCAAATGTGAGAGCAAAAAACAACAACTGGGAAATTAAGTTAAAGTAAAAGGCATCTTCAATATAACAAAAAAAATTAATGAAGAAATCCCACTTCAGAATTGAAACTATTAAATTTATAAGTATGAAACACATTAAAAGCTCCAAAATTAAAGAATGTCTGAACACTAGTACTGCTAAATGAGAAGTGACAGTTAGGTAGAATTGAATAGAGGGAGTCACACGCATAATGAGAGTATGTCACACTCTTATTGGTGAAAGGTTATCGCATGATGATTTCTTGAGAAATGCATTGGGATTGGTCAATTCCAATGGAGGAGAGGAAAAGGCTTGTGGCATGCATAAGCATTTTTTTCCTATAGAGGGCAGCACTGAATGAGAATAGCTATTTATGTGAACGGAGGAAATGTAACACATTGGAAAACAAAAGCTGGCATTAACCACTTTAGTTAGTGACATTACAGTTTGACTGCTCCTACAATTATATTACGTGATAACTGTATTTCCAAATTTAAGTTTGAGTCTGATAAAGAAAAACATCTTTAACAGTGTTTCTCCAAAACTGATTGGGAGGTATATATTTTAGAACTTTTTTTAGTTTATTCAAAAAACTACACAATAAAATTAATGACTTTTGTGAATAATTTTAGCTTAACATAAATCCTAAATCATATTCTTTTATTTTAAGTATTATGCTGTAAGAACACAAAATAAAATGATTACACATTTTACAATATATTTATTTCACTTGCAGCCAAGAAACTTTAGCTATCACAAAATTATAAATATCAATATCTGACTGTATTTAGGTTATAACACCTAGCCATAATGAGAAAATAACATCTGAAACCATTGCACAGGAAACAGTAATGCAACTCTACCTTCTGAGCTCTGGTCTCAAGAGTTGGTCCACAGGAAACTAAAGTTTGTACCAAATATTTTTTGTCCTGAAAATGTTGTAAAGAAAGAAACTGGGAAAAAATTCAACAATCTTATGTTCAATGGATTTAAAGTTTAAGGGCTAAAAGAAGAATATTAACACTAATATTAGTTCAAATTAATTTCTTTCATTATATTTTGTTAAAGGAAATTCTAGGTAAACTAACTTTCACACCATGAGAGAATTTTAACAGTGTTTCTAACTTTAACATAGGATCTCTCCCTCAACTAGAGGTGCCTTGGTGGCAAGGATTGGATACACAAAATCCAGGATTTCTCAGATTTTGGTAAAACTTGCATAGGATGTAGCATTCTGTGAGATATGATAATAATAATTTACAGTTTCCAAATTGGACAAAACTTGACCGAGTTAAGACTTGCCATATCATCAGTAGAAACCTCATAATTAATGATAGTCCTTCCTGTTATGTAACTGAAGGGTCTGCTGTGTGGTCTATCTTCTTTTTCACCTATAAGCATATCTGCTTTACAGACCAGAGCCTAATAGATTTTCAGTACATAGCTTCAAGTCCCATTGACCAAGACTGGAACTTTGCATCTTTGCATCTCATCATCAGTCATCATTCCTTCAATTACCTACATATGCAAGGTTCCAAAATGTCCAACTTGCAATGCAGCCACTATAGATGTGATCACAATGGACTTGCTGGTAGCTCTTGTTGAGGCAAATTTATCTATCAAGCCTAAAGATGCTGTGGCAGCACTTCAAAATAGGTTTGATGTTGACAAGGAAAATAGTGATAGTGGTAGCAATAACCTTCTGCCAGATCAGATGATGAAGACTAAGGTCTCCAACCTCAAATAACAATGAAGGCTGGTTGCATAATTTGATGTGAATCAAAAAAAAAAGAAAGAAAGAGATAAATAAATTGTGTGTGTAACTCTTTCTGGTAAACTGGTGCAGCTGCTCCAAGATCTTGTGTCTCTTTAACTACTCATAACTCCCAATTGAAATAAATTATCATCATATGGATGATTGCATATTTTGATACAACAGGTTCTGGAGTTTCCAACAATGTATGCATCACCCCTAAGAAGCAATTATTAGAATTTCTTGTTTGTGACCTGCCACCCAGAAACACCACTTATGGTTGAGGGAGAAATCCTGTGTTATGGAAAACACAATATAAACCAAGAATTAAACCAAGTTAACTACAAAAGAAAAATGGAACTTCAACAAAATACGTTAGCAAAAATCACTTATACATATTTAGAAAAACAAAAATACATAAGAAGATATCTTTTCTGAGCTTTTACTGATTAGTAGAATGACTAGGTCAAACATATACTAGTTATTTTTATTTTCATATTTAAATTTCCTGTTTTGAGAGAGTTTGTTTTAAAGTATATTTTAATTATAACTTTTCTTTAGTCATTAATTACGTTTTTCTTCATAGCCATTGCAGAGTATGGTATGTATTTCTCATAGTTTAATTTTGTTTAGGACAGTGTAATTTTTCAAACTCTATGCAAGGAAGGCAAATTATTTTCCTAAATTTAAAATGTAAATTGAAGTACCATCTGACAAATTCTATTTTAAATTGCCTTACAATAAGAAAATTAACAACAAATATATTTGAAATTTGCAATACAGTTGTAGATTACATATGAAGCATTTATTAAACATTTTGGAATCTACAAAATTTCATCTTCAGTAACTAGAGATACAAAACAAATACAATTGTAATTACAACAGAGATATGATATAATTTGTAATACATAAGAAGTAAACAACTGGAATATAAAACTATAACAAGAGAAAATAAAAAATATGTAGCACAGATGAACTATTTACATTAAAATAGATTTAAATCCAGTGATAAATGTGTAATATTTAGAGATGGAAAATGAGTTTTATGTATAATGTCTCTTTTATTAGAAGTTCAGTATCATGTTTGGCTGTTGAGAGAATTTAAAGTTCAATAGAAAAATCGGATGTCCTGTTTCTGTACTGTGCTTGCAGATAGCAGAGTTGGGAGGGTTTGTAACCTTTCTTCCAGTTTTTATAGGTATGCCCATATGTTCAATTGCTCCTACGTGAAGTGACATTTGGCTCCACCAATATAGGAGGCCCTACAGTCTCTGCACCTGTATAAGTAGATGTGATGTGTTCTTAACTAATAATTTTGTCAGGCCACCTAAAATACCTATATATACACACCTGTTTATCATATGTTGGAAGACAGAACTCCCTTATTACAAAACAGTTTAAAAAAATATGTAACTCTTACTATCCTCAAATTGACCTTAAAGTTATTTCTAAACCTAATTTACACTATAAAGATCGTGTGCTGACTATCCATTGTGTGAGTAAGTTGTTTTTTGCAAGAATCTCTTAGGGTAGCTGTTTCAAAAAAGAATTGTTTGTATGGAAGAAGTTTCCTTGTGAGGGGCTAGAAAGGAAGAGGTAAATTTGTAGGCCCTATTTAGTAGGCAGAGAATAAGATTGTGCAATATTAATGTTTTCATTGAGGGGAATATTAGTAAAAATACAAGTAATATTAAATCTAGCCATCATGTGATTTTTAAGAGGGGGAGTTGAGTAATTTTTTGGGAAAAATGGAAGGAGTCAAGTTTTGGAAATTTATTCCCAGTAACAGGTTTTAAGATGGGTACATGGAATTTAGCTAAGTTCTGTGAGTGCCTAAGGGGGGGTGTCTGGTTTGTGAACTTTTGGCAGATTATATAATACTCCAGGTTGGGAGCCTGTAGGAGATATAAATTGTTGTAAACACAGTCATATATAATATTTCTTTTGCTTAGGTATCTATGAAATTTCCGTGTTTTTCCTTCAAGTTGTAAAGTATGGGACAGTGGCTCTTTTTTTATAAGTTTGAACTTATTGTGATCATCAAGAATGTCAAGCATTCTCCTAATATAGTCAGCTTTTTGAGGATGACAACTCCATTTCCTTTGACTGGTCAAGTGATGATGATATTTTTATTGTTGGAGAGTTCTTTAACAGATACCAGTTCTTCAGGTTTCAGATTAGAAGATATTCTGCATGTGTAAAAGAGGGTGGAGGGTGCTATGTTTTTTTAACTTAGTAGTAAATCGTTTATGTGCATGCTCAGAAGTAATCTTGGAAAAAAACAGGTCAAGATTTTATGTTCTCATACAAGGATTCCCAGGGATAGTGGTAATTGGTGTAATTAAGTTTTCAGGAGGGTATAGAGAAACTCAGTACACTGGCTATTGCAGTTCTAAATATTACTTAAAGTGATGTTGCTGTAGTTGAAGATGACTTGGTCAGGAGAGATCTTGCTGGGAGTTATGTTGTTAGAAAGTTTTCTAAGTGCACATCTCATCTACTTATACATGTGCAGGGACTGTAGGGCCTCCTATATTGGTGAAACCAAATGTCACCTTAAAGTAGGAAGCATTTGAACATTTGGGCATATTTATAAAAACTGGAAAAAAGGTTGAAAACCCTCCCAACTCTTGCTGTCTACCAGCACAACACAGAAACAGAGCATCTGATTTCTCTCTCGAACTTTAAAATTCTCTCAACAGTCAAACATGAAACTGAACTTCTAATAAAAGAGACATTATACATAAAATTATACTTCTTCTGTCTCTACATAATACATATTCTTCACTTGATTTAAATCTATTCTAATTTAACTATTTTATTTGTGTAAACAATTTGAATATAAAAGTATAACAAGAGAAAATTAAAAGTATGTAGCTTTTATGTATTACAAATCATATCTCTGTTGTAATTACAATTATGATTGTTTTGTATCTCTAGATTACTGAAGATGGAATTTTGAAGATTCCAAAACTCTTAATAAATGCTTCATATTATTACATTCATCTTTTGCTTTATTAAGATATATTTTCCAAAAAATTAATCGATTAATTATAGATTATTATTAAAAAAAGAAGGAAAATTTGATTAATTTTTTAGCATATGGTATTCTTACTTTAGATTTTTTGAAGAAAGGATGCTTCAAAAGTTCTGTAGCAGTAGGCCTAAAAAAATTAGGACTTCACAATTAAAATACACTCAAGCAACTGTACAAATATACATGATTCATTAATAATACTATGCTACTGGTTTCATGAAATGCAAAACCTTTATTAAAATAATGAAATATATAACACTCTGACAAAATCATTACCTACAGAAACAAGAACAGAAATATTAACCTAATCTTCATTACTTCATAAAAATAATTCATTTTATTGACTAAAATAGTAGTATAAATCATAAAGTCCCTGCTTTTAGTCCTATCATAAATTGTATTACAGATGCCTCAATTAAAATTTAGCAACAGATGTAATTAAATCTCAAAACTTATCTTTAAATGTAATAAGAATGGAAAAATCAAAATGCAGCCAACTTTATTCATCCACAAAATGGAATAGTATTAAATGCTCATAAACTGAACCTATGAAATAGATACAAATAAGTAAAAAGTCAAAAGTAACATGTAACTCTTGTTCATCCACGAACTAGAATAATATCAACTGTACTTGTGCTGAACCTACAAAATAGCTAAAATAATTTAAGAATGGAAAAATCAATGTGTAGTCAACTTTATTCATCCACAAAATAGAATAGCATTAGATATGCATACAAAACAGTTGCAAAGACACTTTGACATTGTACTATAGATGGATAAAAGATAGTTTGTCCGCCTCTTAAACTGAACCCAAACTACTTACCAGAAGTTCTGTTTTAATTTTATTAAATTTCACATAAATTCATGAAATTAGTGGTTTATCCAGAATCTTTGGGAAGTGGATGATGAACAGTGTGGTATATTATGTATATATATATATATAATATAAAGGCAGTATCTTCCTGGTTCACTTCCAACTTTTGGGAAGTATCTAAGTTCTCTAGAGTTACATATTTAAACTATAAGAGCATGGGATTCAAATGGATGCTTGTACCTCAGGTGTCAGGCAAATTCAAAAGTTATTACAGAAGGTGAAATTGCAGTGCACAAATTCTCATAGTTATACTGTAAACATAATTGCTTTGAATGAACAACAACAACAAAAACATGAAGGTCAAACTAACTGGAAATTTAACTCAACCAGATGTCCTAAATGCAACATACGTTGTAGTATCATATACTGTACATTTATAAAAGTAAAATCAAGTTGTGCAATACATTTGTTAATTTTAACCCACAATATGCCATATTATTGTTACAAGTTACACATTTATTAATGTGTATCTATACCCACCGTTTGTTAGGATCTTTCTGTAGACAGTCTATTATCATTTTTCTAATGGATTTTCCATAATTCTTATATTGGTCCTTTTCTTCAACACTTGAGTCAATTGTTGGAGGATCATTTTGGAGAGTAAGCATAAGTACCTGAAATAAAAATTAAAAACTTAAAAAAAAAAGGAAAGAGAATGAAAAATTTCAAACCTGCTTGACAATCCTTAACTGTAATAGTCAATTAACTAATTTTCCAACATATCTAATTACTTCTATTTTACATAGTTTTAATATACAAATATTTTAATGTTAGTTAAATATTGTAGTATGTCAAAGTCTTCAACATTTTAATTTCAATTAAATCTTAGTTTCAGTAATCATGTAGTTAAAAACCTTCACAGTAACAAGTTTAAGATTTAAAATGTTAACCTTTTATATATTTTAATACATGTTTTTAAAGTTTTGTTTACTTTAAAGAAGATAAATGTAGCTTGTACACATTTTTTGTTTTGGTGAATAAGCATAAGGACTTAACATGTGAAATACTGAGAGTTAATTATGCTTTATAAGAATGATAGTCAGGTCCTGCTCTTCCTTGAAACTACTTTCTTTGTTGTTGATTGTGCTCAAACTAACAACCATGATTAAAGAGTTATTGGCCAACATCACGTTTCTGAAAAGAATGGAAAGATTTATCTTGGACCACACAACTTGACAAGCCATCTAAAAACCCTCAAGTGTGTATGGTCATCAGCTACTGAAACCAGATTTAAGACTGTGAAGATGGCTTGTGAACCTTCATCAACTTCAATTCCTTGTTTATTATCTCATTAATGGAACCAGACAATATGCTGAATTTTACAGCAATGACATAATAACAATCTGTACTTTGTAGATGAAGGTGTCACATCAGAGCTTGTTGCAGTTCATGGAGACCAATAAAGAGCACCTATTCAAAATTTTGGGTTTTCGCTCTACATTATTTAACAATTTTTCTATATGAAAATCCTTCCTTGACAAGAGCTCTGACACATCCCTCAAACATGGCACTCTGAAAAAAGTCACGAATCTGCCATAAATATCCTTCCTTGACAAGTACTGTGACATATTCTTCAAGTATTGTACTCTGGAACAATCAAGAATTTGCCAAAACCTAAGCATATATATGTGCTAAACAGGTTACCTATGGCACCACAGCTCATATTTATGGGGGCACCACTGCATTAGCATGTGTAAATCATTCTTATAAAGTGGAATTAACTTTCTATATTAATATCTGTATAAATATATATATATATTACTATACTTCTAGAGCAAATTATATTTTATTGGCCTCTTTAAATTTTTAAATTATCATAAAATTACAAGTACTTTGACTCTTTCATTGTCATGGGCACATATTTATTCTCCATTCTAGAGCACTGTCATATAAGCTTGTAACTTTGTGCCAACATGAATTTAAAAATAAACCTATCTTTTATATAAACATGGTAATGAACTAATTAAATATTTCGTTGTGAATTAATAAAATCAGTATACTTTTCTATTATATATAGCACAACTAGATGTAGAACTAAACACCAATTTCATTAAGCTTTTCTGGACCTGAGAGGTATCACTGATATTCCTTAATTTTCTATCCTAACAGTGGGAATACTTAAAACAAAATTAATGCTTTAACAAATTCATATAATTTGATTCAGTATTTCTATCATTTTCTAGGCTGTGAAATTCCAAAATTTTGTTCTGAGATACTATGTTGAAAAAAACATTAAAAATACTTCCTTTCACCTCAGAATTTAACATTTTTTTTACTGATCAGGAAGTTTCATATTATAAATCCAGTCATTAAAAAACATTATCAGAAATTAAAGGACCATCAAACAAAACTATAAAAAATTCCAACATCTGTAGTTTGTTTTTAAGCGATGTGAACTTTGTATCAGGATGTTGACAACCACAATTTACTGCTATAGCAACCATATTTACTATGTATTGTCATAAATAGATAAGAATATTTTCTGTCTCATCGTTTCCATCCACTGGATTTACCTATTTTCAAAGCTAAGCTTCATTATTAATTGTTTAGACCAAATTATATGACATTATAAAAGGTATCAAGAAAGGGCTGTAGAAGTAAACATACTAACAAAGGTAAAATGAAACAACATAGGTCAACATGTTTCAAAAGGATGATAGTTTCTTAGCAAATATACATCTGTACTTTGGAATGAGCAGAAATATTCTAAAGAAACTGATAAATGTGTTACTTACAGAAAATACTTCTCAGATTTACACTGAAATAAAGGTTGGAAATTTTCCATTTTTCTTCATGAAATTCACTAATAAATAATATATAATGAATACAAAACTCATGAAAAAAATTACAATTATATTTTTTACTTCAATTTTCAAACTCGATATGCAGGTGAACAATCAACTCCTGAAATTTACATACCTTTCATAATTACAGTGTCACAGTTTTAATGATGATCAATTGAAATCCACTCACCTTCATGGGAGGATACTTATGGTATGGAGCAGTGCCTGTCACAAGTTCAATGGCTGTAATTCCTAAACTCCAGATATCTGCTTTGAAGTCATAACCAGTAACCTGATAGCATTAACAGAATTAAAAAAATCAAAGACCTCAACAAAATGCCAGATAATAAACTTAACAAAGATTATTTGTTCTCTGCTACTTTTCAACAAGTATTTGTCAAATCCTCACCTGCAATTGCAGTCTACTAATTTAACCACAGTAAAGAATTTCATGAGTGTCTACTCCTCAAGTCTGAGACTTAATGGTGTTTCCATTAATCTTTATTAATTAATCATTAAATTTGCTGATATTGATTCCATATTTTAAATGTGACTCTAATGAGGAGCTACTGGTGATGCAGACATCATTCTGGAAGGAGGTTGATGTTGTATCCTTGAGAGAACACTGAAATTGTGGTTATTGGTTAGTAATATATGTCAAGTCAATGTTTAAATAATTTTTATCAAGAAGGGAAATTGTCCTAACTTCTTCCATTATCTCATTCAAGCAATGTTTCATAATGTTGAAGTGCATGGCTTCTTTAAGACAGCTGTAAAAAGAGTCTATCAACAGAAGAAGTTAACAGAGGAACAGAAAGAATTTGTAAAATAATCCCTGATGACCAAATGAGGGCAAAAAGACAATTACACAGGCTTTTCAAATGCAACAGGAATTACTCAAAGTATTCTACAATAGTCAAGATTTGGCTATCTTTAATAGTACCATGAGACTTCTGAAAACTAATAGTTTGAGAACCAATTACTTCAGATACAAAAAGGAAAGGAAAGCTATAGTGGCAGTGATGCCTAATGCACAAATTGTGAAGAATGACTTATTGTTAATATGTATGGTGTTTTGATGAGCCACATTTTACCCCTTTTCTCAATCTATAATACACTAAAAATATGTAACAAATCACATTAAGTCTCAATTGAAATGAGCATCTTTGGGAGGAACATGAACATCATATTTGCCACTATAACCTTCTTTCAAAATCTATGAGCCAAATGCACATCACACTCCTCGACAAGTACGCTACAACCAAATTTGCCACTTTTCAGCATCTTATGAAATCTATGCCATGCAGGGTCAGGACTGTTTTTGCAGTGAAAATCATACCTGATACTAGATGGATATCCTAATAAAGTAGCAAGATACTGTATGTTGGATTTATACTGTACTCAAGTTAAAAGAAATAAAGATATGTAAACTTCTTTAGTAAGTCCTTTGGTTTCCTTTGCTAATAACTACACAGATTAGTTACATGCTCCTGCAATAATACATAGATTCACATCACATGAACTTAAAACTATAAATAAGCATTAACAATACACTATTTTCACCCTTAATCCTTCCATTACAGGCTGGGGGAAATCCACTCATCTCATAACCATGAAAGTATTCATGAGAGTAATTATACTATGATTTTTGATAATGTAGACAATATCATGAACTTAAAACTATAAATAAGCATTAACAATACACTATTTTCACCCTTAATCCTTCCATTACAGGCTGTGGGAAATCCACTCATCTCATAACCATGAAAGTATCCATGAGAGTAATTATACTATGATTTTTGATAATGTAGACATACCTTTACAAACTTTTGCAAGTTATTGGTAGACATTATAAGGTTTTTGTACACAAAATATCAGGTTTTTAAATTAAGTATTAAGATTTTTTGATCAAAAATTTTCTCATAAAATATTTTCTTTCAGAATGTTGACTAACCAACATGCAAAATAATTTTGATTTTAAGATTAAAAATACTTTTATGCATTAAAACATTTTAAAATTTCACATCCAAGTCTTTATAACCTCCAGATAATGATCAAATTTGTTTTAGAAAAAAACTTAATATTTCATTTTATCTGTTATTTTCATTATTGTATCTCTGTATGGGTTGGTTGATTTGACTGACTTCATAACCCCCATAAAAAATTAGGAAATAACTATAAGTTATGCCTTTTTTGTTCTA